AGCCCATGTCAGACCACACTGGGTTCTGTGGTCCTGGCTCTCGGTAGGCAGGGCTGGGAAAGAGCTTACTGTGTCAGACATCCACAAAGTCCTCTGTGCAGGACAATACCTCAGGGACCCTAGAGAGTGGTGAATTTGACTGTTCTCTTGATTTTTTTACATTTTCACCTGGAATTATTTGATACATTTTATATTTATTCATAAATATTTTGCAGCTTAAAAAAAATGCTATTTCTCTACAATGACCCAGGAGTTGCCAGCAACTGTCCTTTCAAGCACACTCATCTGTATGTTTGATGACCCTGTGTGACAGTGTGAGAATTGGTGGCTCTCTGGTGGGGGCTCTCCAGAAAACCCATTTTTTTTCCTGCTCTAAATCATGGCATATTTCAATTCTAATGCTAATTTCTTTCTAAGTCTCAGTAAATATGTTTTTCACCTAAAACACTTTAAGAAATATTGTCAACTTCTGAATCATGCTGGGAAGCGCCAGAGAGCATGGAAAGTTTTAAACAGAGGAGAGTTTTAACATCCTTTATATTTTGCTTGGAATGTATGACAATTTTCTTCCTTGGTTGATTCAGTTCTTAATTATTCTTTGCTTATGCTGATTGGGTTATATCTGTTGATAGCAAGCCACAGGAAGGAAGATGACCTAAAAGCACCATTTTAGGTGGAAACAACTATTACATGGGCAACTGGTCGTCCTCGATGGTGTGGACTCATTTGCCATAACCAAGACTCTGATTACGCTGAAATTCTTTTGTCAAACTTCTTCACTTTTCCTCATATAATATAAAAAAAAAAGAAAATGTGCATTTCAGATTTCACATCAATAAAATGTTAAATCATGTGTTAGTTTCAGCTGCTGTGCCTGGAGCAAAAAATAGCCAAGTGAAGCAATATCAAACTTCTATTTTCTCAATGTGCAAAATATGGAACTGAGAACCAGGTCCTGTGCCCAGAGCCTTCCCCCGTGCATTTGTGCTTCCTTTCTGAATTTGCTCGTCTTCCTTTGTCCACTGTGCAGATCTCCTTAGAGGGGAGCCAAGAGCAGCAGCCTGCTGTGATTATTTCTGCTCCCTAAATTGCCGCCCCTGGGCTACAACATCTCAGTGATTTAAATCCTTTATATCAGATTAGTTTTCCTAGTGCACAATCATAGTCTGGATGTCATCTATTCAAATATTTAAAAGAGCTCACCAAATATGTAAAGTCATATTTCTTTGTACTCCCACTTCCTTAAGACGTCTCCCACTTACGGTTCTCTGTCTACCTTTTGACCACCACCCGCTCACCTTTAATAGCCTTCTCTTAATTGTCTTGAACTCATTTTCACTTTATTCGTCTTTCAGGGAACAGAGTTACTTTATCATTTAGGAAATACAACTGGTCTATTCAGACAAGGTGAAACCTGTTCATCAAACTCTCACACATTTACCATTCCATCATGTAGAAATCTATCCAATATGGTAGCCATTAGCCAGAGTGGCTATTTAAGTTAATTTAAATAAAGCTAAATTTAAAATTGAGTTTCTCATTCTCACTAACTGTATTTCAAGTGCACAACAGCCAAATGTAGCTAGTGTCTTTTGTATTGGACAGCACAGTTCCACAACATTTTCATCATTGCAGAAAGTTCTGTTCGGCAGACTTGATCGAGATATTTGAACTATAAGAGAATCCAGACCCTTAGGAGAATTCAAAACTTTAATAGCAAGAAGAAACTGGATCGTGGGAAAGCAGACAATGTATTGGTTAATAATAAATGAAAACAACAAACAGATTTACTTTGTCTGGAACTAAGTACATTTTCCCAAGTAAATACATTTTCTAGAGATATTTACATTTCTATTTAACAGTCCAATAATAATCTCTTCCTAAACATTGTATACACTGGCTGGATTATAATATTTTTTGATTCTAGAATAATCTTCTATGGATTTTCAGAATTATTTTTTAAGAAAATTTATGAAGTTGTCAATCTGCTTCTTCTCATTTAGGTATAAACAAGTTTGAAAGCTTGGACGAACAGGAATAGGGGAATGATTCCAATCGCTTTAAAGCAAGCGCTCTGAATAAAGAGCCAATCCTACATCGTCCAGTGGTGACTAGGGAGCCATCTTCCCACTTGCCAAGCATCTCTTCATCCATCAGCCTGCTTGGCTATCACTTCCCCATGAAATCTCCCTGAAACCATTCCCTCTCTGCACAAAACGGCCAGCGTCAATCTCTCCTGACTGTCCAACTACCATCTCCTGTGCACAATCCCATCGCCGTGCACAGCCCGCTGAATTCTAGGTACCTCACTTACATGTCTGTCTGTCCCTGTAGCTGGGAGCTCCTTGGGGGCAGGAAAATGACCAGCTGTTATTTGCATTCCCAGCACTCAGCACTGTGTCTGACACATAGAAAGTTTATTGGACTGAGCTGAGCAAATTGGACTCAAAGCTGCAAACCTGCTTTTCACTGTAGCTCTGATTCTAGTCTTGTATTTGAGGTATAATCAATGTAACCTATTTTGTTACTGTGTGCGTTTAATTAGGAGACATTTTAATTAATTTGAAACGTTAGCAGGAGCTATACCGGCTATTAGCATCTGGTTGCCTGTTGGCAGCCTGTGTGTATTTGCTTTCTTGACTGTAGTAGGTTCCCATTTCTTGGGAAAAGGTACGATTTTTCTGTGGGTCCGAAGAGACTAATTAATGAGATCGCCAAGTGAAATAAACAATGTTGTTCAGTCTGAATTCTTTAATATTTTCTTTAATATTTTTACTATTTTAATATTTAAAAATAATTCACTGAATGGTGGGGCTTTGATTTGATGAGCCAAAAGACAGTGAAAAGTATGTTAATATTTAAAACTTAGATAAAAATTCACTCTCCAAAGTGTCTCCAGGAAAATGTTAATTTTTGTTCCTTAGAAATTTGACTTCATAGAAAGGTCAAATGCTCAGATTTCAAAAGGGAAGCCCAAATATGTCACATAGTGTCAAAAAGATCATTAGTTCATATGTGTGTACTCCTAAAACTGGAATTCTAATAATCCTGATTAAAGGACTGGCCTTAGCCATCAAAATTTAAGATAGAATGACTCAGCGCTAAAAGCAAGCTGTGAAATTCAAGAAAATGATTCCCTAACCAAGAAATATATGGTCTTTTTCTGTGTTGTAATATCAAGAAAGTCAACTGGAATTTCTTCTCTGCAGATTGGATTGGGAGCTTAGTGGTTCTTTTGTTTTCCATCTCTCCCTTCAATATCAATGAAATACTACATTTTACAACATCTATGTTGCAAGACGAAACAAACACTGTTTCTGAATGCATTGAGGAATTTGTGGGATAATTTCATTAATTCTCCTTTTTTTTTTTAAGAGCCATACCCTAGAGATTAGATTTGTATAGAGATTTCCAAATTTCCAAATGCTTACATATACATTATCATATTTAAGGCAAATTGTTCATATACATGATTAGTCCAGTTAGTCAGGCACCATCTGCTCAGTTTATACATTATTCCTGACATTTCCCTCCTTTCTTTTTTTCTTTCTGGCCTGAAATTTCATCATTTTTCTTTCTCATTAGTCTTGTATTGGTAACAAGAGAGCAAAGAAGAAAAGGAAGTAAAATTCAACCTGATCTTATGTTTTAAATGCATAGAGTTCTTTTTTTAAAAAAAAAAAAGACTGAAAATATTAAAGTTGCTAGTTAAATTAAGGCTGTAGTGAATAGAGGCACTGATTTAAGTGATTTCAAGTATTTTAATGTTGGTGACTTACTCAGATACTCTTAATCTACAACTTCCAGTTAATAGCATAATTACTCGACAACAGTTATTTCCTTTAGTTAAGCCTGTGTGCTAAAGATGCTTATTCCCGTTTTTATAGGCGAGAAAACAGGAATATGGAGGGATGAAGTTGATCTGTCCAAGCAGAGGCCAGGGCTAGAAACCAAGTCATTGGATTCCAGGTTGAGAATCCTTCCCTAATCAGTGCTTCTCAAACTTCAGCGCACATCAGCACCTTGGCATCTTTGTAAACACCAATGGCTGGTGGGGAGGGAACCTTGAAGTCTCTGATTCAGCAGGTCTGGGGTGGGTCTTGAGAATGTGCATGTCTAAAGCACTTGCTGCAGACGCTGGTGCTGCCATGGTCGTCCTGGGACCATACTTTGCAAACCATGGCTGCCTCCCTCAGCTCTTTTTACATCCCTTAAACTGTAAACCACATCAGGGTAGGGAGTCTCCTGAATCTGGTGTTGCCTCTCTCTGTCCTCCCCCCCATTGTCAACTGGTCATCATCGCAATGCCTATGGCACTTCACACACACACCTGCGTAAATACCCCATGAATTGGCTTCCATTTTCACATAGTATAAGGAAAACAAGAGATTGGTCAAGTGAAAGGCATAAGTAACCATTTCTGTAGGGTCTATTTAAGCTAAAATGTTTCACCCTTTTTCTCTTCTAAGCCAATGAATTTAATAAGGGACATAAAGAGGCACAGGAAAGCAAGGAAAACTGTCCCCAAGTTCTTACCCTTCCAAGGAGCTCTTTATGCCCTTGGGGAATCTGAGTTGCCAGGCGAGGATGTAAGATCTCCAGGTGTCCGTGCTCTCCCTAGATGCACAATATCGCCATTGGCATTTGTCAGTGTTTTCCCAGCTTAGCGAGACGGATTTATTTGCTCTTATCCCTTAGAAATAAATGACCATCCTTACAAGTCCCGCCCCAAATAATTTCTCCAACTCCTTCTTTGTGTTGCAAAATATGTCACTTTGAATGGGCATTATCCTGTTAATTTTTTTCAGACTACTTAGAAATATAGATGCTCTGCTTTTTGAGAATAGTGGCCAGGTTGCCGTACCCCAGATAGGTAATGAATTGGAGAACCAAGGTCACGTGAACCACAACATTCTGTATTAGATCCGACTGATGAAAACAGAACAGCTGCAAGAAATGGATTACTGACAGTTTGTTAACGTCGAACGTCACGATCTTACCTATGCACACTAGATCCATAAAACCATACATTCCATAGCAGATTTGAAAAAGGATGTCCTTCCTCTGCCACACTGCATAGGGGCTGAAGGCGGACCAGAGGAGCCAGGTCACACTCGCTATTAAGAACAGGGATCCTAGGATTACAGCAATCATCTGAACTTTCTCAACCAGTGTTATAGAAATGCTTTGCCACTAAAAGAAAAACAGAGGCATGTAAGAAAAAGGTGCTGTGTATAATTTAAAAAGGAAAAAAAAACATTTTCAGCCCCATGTTTGCTCTTCATGTTAGACCCTTTTCAATCTGATCGGCCCCCAAATGAATTTTTTCATTTCATCCAGGCTATAAAAAATAGACAAGCAGATAAAGATTAATGAATTGCCTCAGCTTCATTATTTTCAGTAATTCACCATTCTGCAAGTTTAATCTAGTTCTATTCCAGATAACAGGACTGAGTGTGTACGGCCGAGGAATATTTAGTACCCAGGAATCATATTAACATCTTTCACACATGCATGAAATTAAATACACTCTGACGAAACACGATGAGGAAGGAGTCCACTATTTGGAAATTTATTTTGTTCTCAACACATTCAGCTACTGCAAAAAAAGGGATTTATCTCTTCCTTGGTGGAAAAAAAAATGTAAAAAGCAAATAAATGTTATACAAGAACATCCATGAAAAATCATTTAACAAACTAAAATAATTACAAGGGAACTATAAAATTGTATGTTATGTGTTATTGGTACATTTCATATAGTTAGATATTACAGATATTACTGGCTATTAATTATCTCATGAGTAATCCATAAAGCCATTATTTGTCAAGATTTAGAATTTGTACATGAAAGAGTATCTTTGAAACTCACAAACTGTATGAGCACACACCATTCAGTGGGGAGAATAATTTGGTGTCCAAAGCATCAATGTTTGAACGGATTTATAGCACAAATGATGAAAAATCTTTTGAGGGTGTTAACTTGAGAATTAATCAGTCATGCTCCCACTTTGGCGTAATGGAGACAGAAACAAAACTAGGATTGCTGTGATGGTCTGTCTGCCAGCACACAGTGAAACTCAAAATAACCGGCACCGTCTCATTGTGCGGGAGAGCGTTGTGGCTCTTGCAACATGTGGCTTGTCAGAAGAATTCCTAAACAGTTTAAATAACCTTTAAAAACAAATGAGCTTAAACAACCACTGCCCATCGGGTGAATGTGGTATTTCCTTAATGTCTTTACTTACCTGAAGTCTGACTATGTGCATCCCCCAGTGGCAGTCTGCCACTGCTCAGAACTTCCCTCTGTCCCTCAGTGCCTCTGCCTCTGCCTCTCATCGTATCATTCATAGATAATAGTTTCAAATATGCATTTAATCTTGCATATTCTTGGATACTATTAAATTCTACGTTTGTTGAAGATGAAATATCAGAATGCATCTGAAATATTTCATTCTCTATAGTCATTTACGTTATGCTTCTCTTAAAAAAACAGACCCAAATGACAAAGCTTGTGGAGTCTATAAAAAAGGTATTTGTAACCACTTTAACATGAAGCTTCATTTATTGAAAAGTGATTCTTGCTTCTACAATTCTGTATGAATAGTAAGTGAGCTAGTCAATATTATTTTACCATTAGAAATGGATCAATGTATTTCAAGCACATGTCTGAAGTTTTTTTTTTTTTTAGCTAGCTTCCTGGAATAATTTTAAACATATTAATTTCAAACAGCTAGGCATTGAATTTTAAACCGTTTAAATTTGCTGCCACCAGACAAGTGTGAAGTGTCAATGTCTGTGTCTCGTTTAGTTTTGATGTTCATTAAAATTTGCATTAAATGCAACAACATGGTAAGCAATACAGAACACTACTTCCAGCTAATTCTGTCCTAGATGGGTGCTGTCGTGTCTGTATGCACCACGTGGTCCTTTGTCAGTTTACTAGTCACATCAAATTAATGAAAACAAAGCAGCCTTTTAAATCCATGAGGCAAAGTTGTCCTGTGTGTGTGTGTGTGTGTGATTTTCATATAATGGGCCACATGTTTCAAAAGACATAGGCCTGAAACACAGGAGCTGGGGGATCAAAAGGAAGTGAAGAGGGTTCACCTCAAATGAGCTTTGCATCCTGACATCTAGTTTCCTTTTGCCAGGAATCCTTTACGTTCCAGATGCATTACATAACTTTGGCGGAGTTCCCTTTGGACAGCTCAGTATTGTGTAATTAATTAGATTTGGCCTCCGTTAGGCTGATTAATTAGTTGGCCCAGACTGTCTGCGCGCCAGTTCAGTAACAACGTGATGGTCACAGGCCGCAGGCACAGTGGAGTGGACCCTGCTGGGCCTTTGCATCCGGGCGAACTGGTGGGGGTGATTTTATGCTGCTGTAGTGTGTCCCGGGACACGGGAAACTGTGTGGCTTTGGGCTCAGAGCCAGCATGACGGCAAGGTCTGGGAAGCCGTGCTCAGGTGGCAGGTTTCCCACGTGTGAGGCTCGGCAGATCCTCGACAAGGACGGTGAGCGAACAAAGGGACAGACTTACTAAGAGAAAGAAACATGGATGCTTCACACCTGTTTGGTGTTGCCAAGTTTAAAATGGGTTAAAATTCAAATGCCTGGCTCTTTGAAATGACTGGGTTTAAAATTACATCAGGAAGCTGAGAAAAAAAGAATGACTCTTGATTACAATACACTGGGAAGCTCAATTATTTACTCTTATTATAGAAAGCATTTTTCATTGTGGATAGAAGAAGTAATTCGAGATTTTTGAAGCTTGTTTTTAAAGAAGGTTAAACTGTTCAAAATCTATAATGAGCTCTCTAAAATTTTTGGTTTTGTATCACTTCACTAATGATGCAAATGTGCAAATGTGTCTGAACATGCAGAGACGTTCTTCACATACTGATAAACATTCAAATTAGTAACACTGCACTGAACAGCTAAAAAGGACAGACCATTAAGGAAATGGAAGTTATTAAACCAACTAGAAATACAGAGATTTCTCTTTGAACACTGATGTCATCTTGATAATTTCTTTATCCACTATATACTGCTCTCTTATTTTTACCATTATGTGCAGAAAATGGGATTGTTTATATTCTTCCTCTAGGAAAATAGTGTTTTTCCCACAACTAGGAAACACCCACTCAGCACCCCTGGCCTGGAAGTCTCATATTATCCACCAGCCTCAACCGAAAGGAGCTGTGTGAACGGACCATGAGCTTGGACAATAAAAACAGAAGATGAGTGTCTTGTGGCTTCTCTCTCTCCACCCCAATGGTATCCAAGACCTGGATTTCAATTTGTAAGACACTTCTGAATCTTGAACAAAATTTGTCAACTGCTGAACACTTTCGTCCTCTAAAATTTGATATGTAAATATGTGCATATTTTTTCATTTAAATTTCTTCCCAGGTTTGGAAAGGAAAGTAATATAACAATAACCAGATTAGTTAAATAATTGCTATTATTTCCTTTGTTTCCATAAGATGTAAATAGGTGTGACTCCCTTATATTCCTGAAAAGCTGTTCTCTTCTACGCAGCTATTGGACCTATGGTTTCCAACAAAAATAGGGCCGATTGGCTCCTCTTCTGGAAGTCCATTCTCTTTAGCATATTAGAAG